ATCAGAAATAAAATATTTGGGAATAATTTTTGATTCAAGAATGAACTGGACCAAGCATATTAATAAAACTATCCACAGCTGCAAAACTACACTTAATTTAATTAAAGTAATAGCCCACCATAAATGGGGATCTTCCGAAAAAACACTTTTTACATTATTCAAGATGCTAATAGTCCCGAAAATCGAATATGGAGGTATTATATATAACACCGCAAACAATAATCTTTTGAAAAGAATTGACACAATCTATAACAGCGGATTACGACTGGTAACGGGTGCTTTCCACACAACTCCCGTAATAAGTCTTTACGCTAAGATGGGGTTTCTTCCCCCGCACTACAGAAGACAAGTCAAATTACTAAAATATACAATAAATGTCCTCTCAAATCAATCTAACCCGAACTATCCGGCCTTTAATCTCCCTCTTTACCAAAATACATTTCGGCACTCTCAGGGACAAATTTTACCAATACCAATACAAGCGAAAAATATCCTCTCTGATCTAAACCTAACAATGATTACGCAAAATTCCTACAGCAGTATTCCAATTTATACACATCCTCCACTGATAAACCTAGAATTAACTTCCTGTAGCAAAACAGACACGCCGCCAGAGTTATTTAAAATAAAACTACGAACTATCTTAAGTCAATATCCAGACTATATAAAGATCTTCACAGACGGATCTAAAGAAAGTGGAAAAGTCGGAAGTGCTTTCGTGTGTCCGGATAAAAACATTTGCGAAAAACAGCGTCTGATAGAATATAGTTCAAATTACAGTGCCGAACTTTGTGCTTTAAAAATGGCGTTGAAATTTGTCGAAAATAATGTCAACAATAATTTCCTGATACTGTCAGACTCTAAAAGTGCTCTTCAATCCATAAAAAATTTATATCCTACAAACAGTTACGTAAAAGACATTCACAAAATTTTATATAAAATTCAAGAACTGAACAAAAACGTTACATTCATTTGGATTCCAAGTCACATAGGTATACTGGGAAATGAAGAAGCTGATGCAAAGGCGAAAGAAGCTTCCGAATTCCAATTACAAACAGTAGACGACAGTACAGTTTCACCAGAGGATACCAAACATTTCATAAATACAACCATTTTCCAAAAGTGGTATGAGGACTGGGAAAACATCCAAAACAACAAACTACGAAAAATACAGCAAACACCAACTTACTGGAAACCAAAAGTGAAGCTAAATAGAAAACAGCAGGTTATTATATCAAGACTACGACTAGGACATACAAAACTGACTCACAAACATATCTACGAAAAGACACCGCCACCTAACTGTGATGTTTGTGACATACCTCTCTCAGTAGAACATATATTGTGCGAGTGTACAAAATTTAATATAGAACGAATACAGTACGGGATACCAAGAGACATTACGAATGTGTTTGAAATAGACATATTAAAGTTATTGGGTTATTTAGAAAATACAAACCTGTTAGATGAGATATAGATCACTCATGTAAATTTTTAAGTTAAGTTTAATGGTGTAAAAGACCTAAGCTGTTCAATGCACCTTAAATAAATTAATAAAAAAAAAAAAAAAAAAAAAAAGTTTTTTTTATTTATTGATTTTCTTTAGGAAACACTTTAGGAACACACTATTTAATTTAATAATTTTAGCTACGGCCTGAATATGATAACTTTATCGAAATCGATCGCCTAAGAAAATCAATAAATATAAATTTTACTTGAGTACACGAAAATATTTTCTTACCACTTTAACAATCCGGTACTCAAAATGGAACAATTCATAGAAAAATTTATCGTTTGTATTTCAGTTTAGCTATATTTTAGAAAACAAAACAGTTATACAACTATAAAAGCGGTGTAATGGTTGTAAAAGCAGTATTAATTGTAATTTTTAAATTTAAGGGAAAAAAATGTTTAAATATTGTCTATCACGCGCTGTGCCCTTCTATTCGGTAGTTGTATTGTACTGTAACTGTCCGAGCGAGAAATTGAGTAAAGCGTATTATAAATGTTCTAACGATTTTGCCTGTTACCACCTCGAATTCTGGCTGGTAAGGCTCAAATGAAGATGGTCATCAAAATGGTGACTAAAACTCACTCTCAAACTCACTTTAACATTTTTAACAAGAATGTCATCATGAGTTTAATGTAACGTATACATTTTTCCACTAATTACCTATTTTATGAAAAAATTTGAAGCCAACAAAAATAAAGATTCTTGATTTAGTTTACTTTAAGTGAGCAAAAAAATTATAATTTGCTTACCAAGTGCCTGCTTAGTGAAAAAGAAATACAAAATCTTTATTTACACTTTTTTAAAAATGGAGGACAAGGTGGCGGGGACAGTTTGGCTGTTAGTTTCTCTTGGTATGCGATAGTATTGGTATAGTATTAAAATAATTATTATTCGTTTAAATTCATATTATCTATTACCGTATACAAATTCTAAATGAAAAACAAAACAAAATTTAAAAAAATTAGAAATGAGCAAAAACATCAAAACGATTGATTATAATTTTGCTGATGAAATTTTTATAGCACGATCAACGACTGTTTTTCACACTCTCAAAATTGATACACTTTGGATGACGTGGGCGTTTTCGTTGTGGAATAGATTTTTTCGCCTCTCAGTTGCACAATAGTATTCCAGCCAACTAATTGCAAAATGGAAATTTTTCCGACGCTTTTGATGGGCACAAAATACATGCATTTGGTCGAATGTCGTCCTCATCACTTTCATCGTCACAAGGAGTAACAAGTTACATGTTCTAAAAGAACAGAAATTCTAAGATGCGGGTGTATTGCAAACAGCTGTACTTTGTGTAAGTACCAGATATGTAAGTACAAAAATACATCAAGTTACTTACAATTGACAATCTTCTAAGCTAAACAAACACCCACCGTCAAAATATTTCCAACTTGGTAGGTAATAATTAGCTTCCTAGCATGAGCTAGATGGCTATTGCGATTACCATTTTTTGGACATGTTAAAATTTTATCTTAGATCATTTTAAGCTACTTTTAAAGAACAAAGTTTTTTTCTAAAACTACTTTAGAAACAACTACTTTCGTCTCTAAAAAGGGTGAATAAAATGTGATTTTCCTCTCTAGTCAGGAAAGTAAAACACAATTGCTGCTTTAATCATCAGTACCATTTAGTACTATTTAAGGATTAATTAAATGTACATCCCATTGAGTGGTACCCTTTAAGGATAGCCTTTTACTGGCTACCGTCCAAATGCCACCAGCCAGTAGACGGGGAATTGATAGCCAGGATATATACATAAGCAAACAGCAGCACCATTTAGTACTGCTCAAGCAATGATTAAATGTGCGTTTAGTTTTTTGATACTTTTAGTATTACATTCGTACTGTTTGCCTTCTAAATCTCGCTAGCCAGTACAGGGGATATTGATGTACGGCAAGCAAGAGTACGATTTTGTACTGCTTAGGTAGTAGTTACACATACAAATACAAGTAGGTAGTTGTGTGATAACTTTCAAGGTGTATTAAACGAATATATAAGTGTACAGGGTGTCCCAACGAAAATTCGAAACCAACAAAAATTATGCTTAACTTTTCCGTTTCAAAATTGACAAATTTTTAGGGTTCAAAGGTTCACGCAGATTTTATTTTAGGAGAAGGACTTCCACCGCATAGAATTATTAGAAGCTGTCGGAAACTCGCGCCACATGAAAAAACTCAAAAATTAAAATTTGAATTTTTCCTCCTAATTGGAATAATGAATGGTAAGCAAAAATTTACATAACAAAACATGCAGTTTCAAATAATTTTTTCTTTTTGAATCATTGGTTCTAGATTTACGGATGAATTCCGAAAATCCTCCGAATTTAAAACTTCAACTCAATCGGTTCAATAATTCTAAAACCCCCACCACGAATCCAGGGCGGATTCGTCGGTGGACGGAAGCAAAAAAAATATACTGAAAGCTAACGGAGGAAACAAAATCAGGTACTTATTTTAGTGCATCCATAATGAGATGTTGAAAAATCGCAAATTTTGCCAATCAAAATCATTAACAAATGGGATCAGGTCGACTTATTTTAAGCTCCTGTATCACCCCCTATGTTTATGACATACCATACACCGTTATTCAATATTTAATTTATGCTCGTGAAATCCGTAAGTCATATTAGAGGCAAGGGTGTTTTCCTTGCCTCAATAATTGCGGTTAAACTATCTTATACTAAAAAACTAGAGCTAGGCGAATAATAAGTTTTACACTATTTCCAGTATTTTGCCAAAATAACAAGGAAAGTAGCATTACAATTACACAGAAAGCTAAAGGACAGTTTGTAGTAAAAGGCTATCAAGCTAAACTTAATGCACTGTCGGCGCTTAAAGGAAATGATTGACATACAAAGACATCGGTCATAAGAATATAAAAATAAGGGTATTTAGAACTCACCATTTTACTTGTACCATACACGAGCACTGTGCTTGGTAAGGAACAATTCACTACTGGATATTGGTTGAAATTGTAAGTGCAGATTTGTCATGCGACCTTCACTTTATCAGGTGGTTTTCGAAACTCCAATATCCAGTTTTGTTCACTTTACGCGATGTTAGAGAAATACACTTAAGCGTCTAATGGCTTGATTCACAAACGACAATGATTACATTACATACCTTTAATCATTGGTTCCACAACCGACATGGTAACACAAAAAGACAACCCTATTTTGGAAATTAGTTGCATTATAATCGTAGAAAAATAATCCCGACAAGGATTGTTTTTTTTACCTTTATCGTAACAGACTACGAATAAATCTTTTATTTGGATCTTTCGCTTCTTTGAATTCTCAGATTCTTTCAATTTTTTATGTTTTGATGGGATTTATTATCAAGACCTGATATTTGAGATTTTTGCGATTATTCACATTCTTCCTTTATTATTAAAAAAAAGTTCGACCCCACCGGAAGATTGGCTCATCCGGAACTAGTTCTTAATTTGGGTGCGTAGAATCCAAATCAATTCGTACTTTTTCGATCAGACTTCTCAATCAAAAGTTATAGACTAGAAATTTCGAATTGCAATTTCGAAAAAAAATTCAAAGGGCTGTCACTTTTGAACTAGTAGCCCAATCTTGGAACTGTTTGAAATTATGGATTCTACAGGCCACATTCTATAAGAAAAAATTTTTTTACGAGGCGATCTGAGACAATTTTTTTTTCGGGGCTCAAAAAAAGGCAGTGTAAAACCTTCCTTTTTTACCAAAAATCGACTACACCAAAATTTCTCGGGAAAACACTTTTTCTTATTAACCCTAATTTACAGGTCTGGGGTGGATCGCACCCCACAGCCACTTTCAATGTCCATAAGTTTTTTTTCTTTCAATATTTTGGCCTGGGAGCTCGAGTACCTTCCAAGTTTGTTCTTTTCTATCTGGGGTTCGTTCCACCCCACGCCCGAAAAACTTGAAATTTTTAGTGGCCAGTAAACTAGGGTTAAGGTAATAGAGGTTCAAGAAAACTCAAATTTAATTTTGAAATATTCGCGTCTGGAATATTCATCTAAAGGATTCTCCTCCGAAATTTCCCCCAGAATTATTCGCCTCCAATTTATCCTCGAAAACTTCATATATTCGCTCCCAAAGATTCGTCTCGGGAAGACGCTTGGAATATTTGCTCTTAGGCCTTCGTCGGAATACTGGGTGAAACTTCTTCTAGGGGAATTTTATGATCAGAAAAGCTCGACCACAAAAGAGTTTAGAATTCCCTCTTATTTAGATAACAAAAGTCAATCCAGTAATCTATATATAATAAAATTTGCCCTCAATGAAATTCGCCTCCCACTTAAATTCGTAATAGAGAGCAGAAGAACACAGAACAGGCTTTAGAAAATTCGGGACGAGAATAAAACGAATCATAGGGGATACAAGGAAAGGAATAAAAGCAATTAAAAATAAGCAGAGACAAACACTAACAGACACAAAAGAAATACTGGAATCATGTAAAGAACATTACAGAATAATGTATAACCGTTGAGTGAATTTAATTACTCAATGGTATAACACAACGGAGCCAGAAGAACAAGTGGAACATCAACAAATAATTAAGAGAGAAGAACTTATACCCAGTACTTCCAATTTTTTACTGGTTCTTATATTCTGAATTTCATATGACATTATATATTTCTGAATTTAAATTTTGTATTTCTACATTTTTCCGAATGTGACATACTGCGATATTCCCTTGAACGCGGCTTCATTTCTATTGATATGGTACTGGGTCTAATAGGATGTTTCTACGGAAACTTCACGCACTCAGCCCTTTCAGTAAAGTATGACGTTTCGCGTCAAATCATTTTTTTCACATAGTGCATGCATTAATCAAAATTTAATTTGTTCCCAATAAAGCACGGCCAGAGAAACATGCTGCATTTCTCCCTATTCCAACTTCTTGTCATGTACAACAATAATAATTCCCAAAAGAGGAATTACCCCTCGAAAATTTATT